CCGGAGCCGCCGTGGCCGTCAGGACTCACTGAACTCCTCAGAGGGCGCAGTGCAGCCCTTCAGCTGAACGGAAACGCACCCAAGAGAAGCCATAGCGTGTGACACAGGGGACAGACGAACCTGGGGACGGTGGGCAGCTCCCCCGCCGCTTCCCTTTGCCCTTCCCTCAGGCTCCGTCGGGAGGAGTCCAGAGTCAAAGCACACGAGAGCCGGGGGCCGCTCTGCGCAGCTCTCACCTGCAGTTACTCGGCCCGGGCTGCACATCATCTGAAAAGAGGTGCCTACGCCCAGGGCGCTGTCAAGGCCATGCTGTCTGCGGATTTCGAGCCAAGAACAGGGGCCAGACGTCAGGCTCCACCCAGCACAATGCTCCCAAACCCAACAGGGGACGCCACTGCCCGTGGCTGCTAGGAAGGGCCGATCTCCAGGGGGCGAAGTGAGGAGCGTCGATCTTGGGGCCAACGGCCACACTGCAGTCACACCCGAGGGCGGCCTGCCTACAGGGTGCTGTCCTGAGGCACCTCTGCAAGGGGGACTTCGGCTGTGGGAACATGGCTGCCCTGACTCTGGGCCTGTGACAAGCACAACCACTTTTCAAAGTACAGAAAGAACATGTATTAGTGGATTAGTTCAAAGCATCCCACAGCCTAATCAACTCAGTGCAAACACAAGAACCAAGAAGCCACCATCCCTCTCGCCCCCGTGCCCCCTCCTGGTCTGTACCATCTGCGAGGTGTATCACCTTGGAAGGGAATGGGGGCCCTCCTCTGCCTCTCCAACTTCCTCTCTGGCTCCAGCTAATGAGGGCCCACGCTGCCACCTGGTGGACACGAGGAGAAACTGCCTCGGACGTCCTGGGCCTGCGCAGAAGAGTTCTGGTCCAATAGCGTCTCCTACAGATGTTGGGGGACACCGGGCCCCAGAGCCACCTGCCGTGCTATGCACTCCTAGAGCCTCTTCCCAGACCCTTAGCTAACCACCGAGCCCTAGTGCGGTATGGGTCACAGGGACAGTTAACCACCATGGTCACCCCAGCCCTCTAACCAAGGCAAGGGGCCTGCAAGAGGTGGGCGGGCAGCCTGGACCCGCTGAGGAAGGCCAGCATCACAAGGGGGCAGGACAGGGCAAATAAAAACGCAGATAAAACTCGTCAATAGGGAACTACTGCCCTTGAGATCTTTAAACATTTTCAAGTAGCCAAAAATGCTGAATCGGAAATATTGAAGCAATAGGCTGGCCACACAGCCTCGCGGTTAAGGGAGCTGAATCCCACAAGGCCGACTGCAATTCAAATCCCAGCCGTGATGGCTTGAAAAACACACCAGTGTGTGCGTGTCTGCATGCTTGTGCAAGTCCAATATCCTGACAGGACGGAACACGGAGACAGAATTACAGCGTGACCACACTCCACGGCGAGCGTGTCCCCTTCCTCCCACCCGCCGCCCTGCAGGCACACGTGCCTTCTGGCAACTGAAAAAGATACTGGAGCGTATACAATGGGAACTAAAAGGTCTCACCACAATGCATTGAAATTAAAAACCCTACTCATTTAGTTATAAAGATAAAGCTGCCTTTTTACAAATATTTAATTTTATTTATTATTATTATTTTAATTTGCTATAGGGCATGTACACTCATGAGAGAGAGAGAGAGAAAGTGAAAAAGCAAGCTGCCAGGTCTGGCACTTGAACGTGGTCAGCCACGTGGGTACCTAACCACCATGCCACCTGCTGGCCCCAAAGCTGCCTTTTAATACAGTATATACAGAAGAAAAAAACCAAAAAAATATTTTGGAGAGGTTTTCACTATAGGGCACGTGCGCTCGCCAGACAGACAGAGAGAGACATAGAGACAGAAAGCGAGAAATCCCCCGGGGGGATGGTCAGCCGCAATCCCTTCTCCTCCATTCTCCTCTTGGGATCTTGGGCATGCACGCACAGGCACCCGGCATGAGTTCTAAGCCACCGGGTCCAGGACGCGAACCGCGGTCGACTACGTGGGAGTCTAGCGACATGGCCATTATGCTAACTGCTGGTTCCCAACACAAAAATTTTTTAAGAGTGGTTTTTGCTTATAGGGTGCCTGCACTTGCTGGAGAGACAGGCAGAAAGCAAGAAACCAATCCCTGGGGAGATGGCCATGTCGCGATCTCTTCTCCCTCCTCTCTCAGGGTTGTGGCACACGTGCACACATGTCCAGTGTGAGTTGAAGCCACTGGGTCCAGGACACAAACCACAGTCGGCATGGTACGGGGGGTACAGTGCTGTAATCATTGTGACACTGCTGATCTCCAGGAGAAGAAAATTTTTTAAAAGAATTATTTTATTTAACATTCATTCACATTCATTTTAATTTGATCAGAGAGGGGCAGAGTGAGAGAGAGAAAGAGGGAAAGCAAGGAGCAAGTTGCCAGGTCTGAGACTTGAACTACAGTCGGCCATGAGGGAGTCCAGCACCCTAACCCACCATGCCACCTGCCAGTGCCCCCAGGGGAAAAATTTTAAGAAAGCAAGAATGTTCCCAAACAACATGTATTCCCAGAAGGTGAGTTTCTATTTTCCTTTGGGCTTTTCTGTTTGTGACAGGGCGCTTTATTAAAATTTTAACTTAGGGACCAGCAGTTGGCATAATGGCTATGTCGGCAGACTCCCACGTAGTCGACGGTTTGAGTCCCGGATCCGGTGGCTTAAAACTCAGGCCGGGTGCGTGTGCGTGCATGCCCAAGATCCTGAGAGGCGGATAGAGGAGAAGGGATTATGGCGTGGCCATCCCCCCCGGGGGGTGATTTCTCGCTTTCTGTCTCTCTGTCTGGTGAGCGCACGCGCCCTATAGCAAAAACCTCTCAAAAAAAAAAAAATTTCTTTTAACTTAGACCAAGCCTCACAGCCTGGTGGGAGCTGGATCCCACATAAGGACTGCAGTTTGAATTCTGGGCCTGGTGGCTTAAAAACATACTAGACATGCTCAAAGACCCAACAGCGTGGGGAAATGGAAGAGAAGGAATTGCAGTGATGTGACCCTGCCCCAGAGGGAGGTTCTGTCTCTCTTTCCTTCTGTCTCTGTGCAGTTGTCCTCTGGGGGAAAAAAAATAATAATGCATACAGTGTGTGTGTGTGTTTGTGTGTGTGAGAGAGAGAGAGAGAGAGAGAGAGAGATCCTTTTACTCCAAAGAGGGCCGGGGCCTCTATGTGCCAGGCTAAAAGCAAAAGGTTACTGTGGACGACATGTACCGCTTAAACTCCCCTGAAGAATTGATCACAGAAGGTATTCTACAGGGAGAGGAAGGAAACCCAGCACCTCTGGGAGGAATGAGAAGAAGAGAGAGAAGGGCTATTTCCTAAAACTTGATAAAAAACAAAAGCCAGCACCGGGCACTGAGTTGGTGCACTGGCCAGGGTGCTAAGTGGGCAGACCCTCCCCAGCAGGCTGCCTGGAGCAAGGTGGCCCTGGGGAGCCCCTGCAAATACTGAGCTCTGAGTCGGTAAGAACCAGGGCTCTCACCCGGCCCTGCCGCAGCCTCCGAGTCAGGCTTAGTGCACTCGGAATTACTTAAGGAGACGTGACGTTAACTGGAGACTGGGCTTGTGAACTAGGATTTGTAGCCACTACATGGTTTCCAAACTTGCTAAAACGCGTCAGTAATACCCTCATAATCAGAAAAAGGTCAGCAGCAAAACCCTACTGACAAAAACCTACCCCTATCTCCAGCGAATGAGCATCTACGTCTGCCTCAAAGACCGTTAACCCCAGCGCCGGGCTTATGCTTCACGGGCCCAGAGGCAGCTCCCACCTTTGAAAGCTGCTCCTTGAAGCCCTGAGCTTGAAACTGCTGTTTGTGCCACGGTAACCCGTGGTGTGGACGTTCTTTGAATATGCCCAGAAACGTGGAAACATACAAAACGTCTTCTCTGTGGCTTCTTTTCTGACACAGGAGCCATGGTTGGAAAAATCGGGGCGATGCCAAAGGGTCATAATGGCACCACCGCCTAAACAGCAGAGTCGCAAAGGTCCCTTCGGCATCGGAGTCTCACTGAGCGCACTGCGACACGTCTACTTTGAAAGTGTGTGACGACGGCAGGGACGGCCGCTGTACGCACAGCCACCCCAGCCCACAGCCCCTCCTGCTCTCACGGCGAGGTGCTATCTGGATCTCCCGAGACACGGTTTCCTTGCTGACTCAGTTTGGAGGTGAAAATCAGAGTCATGAGTGGAAATGGATCATCTTAACAGGAGAATCCCCCCAAGCCCCTTCATACCACTGGTCTCCGACAGGTCGGATACCCACTCCCCACCACGCCGGCCCAAGGCAAGGCCCCAGGACTGCCAGCCTCCTCCCCCCGGGCCCCAGCAGGGCCCCAGCAAGTGGGTGCTGAGAAAACGCCAGCGCCGGGAGCACGGGGAACTTGCCTTTCCCGTCTGTGGCTGATGCTTCTTGTAAGTGTCTGATGGACCTAAAAATGAACAGTTGGGACAGAGGGTTAGCTGGCAGACTTGCATTCCCCTCTCCTTCCAGCTCTAGTAACTTGAGGTCTTGAATGCCTCATAATAAATCAAAAGGGCTGGACTAGAAAACATTTTTAAAAACTTATTTAAGAATTATTTAATTCGGGACCAGCAGTTAGCATAATAGCTATGTCACTGGACTCTCACGTAGTCGACCGTGGTTCGAGTCCCGGACCCGGTGGCTTAAACTCACACTGGGCGCATGTGCGTGGGTGCCCAAGATCCCGAGAGGAGAATGGAGGAGAAGGAATTGTGGCATGGCCATCCCCCCTGGGGGGCGATTTCTCACTTTCTGTCTCTCTGTCTCTCTCTGTCTGTCTGGCGAGCACATGTGCCGTATAGCAAACAAAAAAAAAAAAAAACTCCAAAAAAAAAAATTATTATTCAATTCCATTTGTTGTTATTATTATTGTTGTTGTTGTTTCAAGTTTGACCAGAGAGAGAGAGAAAGGGAAAGCGAGAAAGCAAGCCCTCAGGTCCAGGACTCACACCGTGGTGAGCCATGTGGGAGCCCAGCACCTTTAGCCACCACGCCATCTAGGCCCCAGGACTAGATTACTTTAGAGCTCTCTGCCTAAACACGCAATCTTCGATAACCAATGCTTCCCCATGTGTGGCTTAAGTCTGAGTGGTCAGGGTGCCCTCTGCTGGCCAGACCTGTGGCAGGAATTCTGGCAGGGGCCAGAATGAGGGGAGAAAATGTTATCTTTCAATACCCTGTTCTCTTCCTAATCTCTCCTCCCATAGCCATGCCCCTGCCCAACACACCTAGGACAAAGGGGCGCCACTGAGCTCACTGGCCCCAGAGAGAACCAACCTTACTGGAGAGGCCCCGTCCCGAGTCCAGGACCATGAACATAGCACTGTATGCAAACTCATTTCAGAGTGAAGATTCACAACTCTGTTGAAAACGCCAGCCCCCAGGGATGCTCTGGGAACTACCTACCACCACTACAGCTGGGGAGGGGGATATTAGCAATAGTGTAGTCACAGATGAGCTCGAGGTAGCTGCAAGCCACCAAGCAGAGATGGCCCTGAAGGAGAGCACAGCCAGGGGAGGGCCGGATGCTCACCCTGACACTGTCACCTGGTCTGCCAACAGTGTGCCCACCTGTGAGGGGTCAGCGTGCTCGAGGATGGAACGAGGCAGCCTATGAACGTCGGCCAGCACACAGCCGGCATGGAACGCGTGCAGGCGGAATCCGAACCTCTCGAGCGGCTGATACTGTTCCCTAAATCACCTCTCTACTACTTACTGATTCCTTTTTTTCATTCTCCAACAATTTTCGGGGTACTTGTCTTCAGGGATCTTACCATTTGGTATCTGCTCATCGGAGTTGTAACTAACAGGTCACAGAGAATGGCCAGAGTTCACCTGGTCCCTTACATTCCATGTTCCCACAGTGGTGCACGTGAGGTGTGGCACCTCTGTGCCCTAATCAGGCCTACCTGGCGACAATCCCGTGTTTCAGGCACCTGGGTCGTAATTCCTGGCAGGCAGGGGGCAGGGGGCAGGGGAGGTGTAGTGAGTAGAAAGTACCATCTGTCTCTTCTCCCTCCTGGGCTGGCTGCTGTGTGCTGAGCTGATGCAGGACATGTGGGGTGTACGATGGAACTGGGGTGCAGGGCAAATCCCGCTGGCTGGGAGGTGGACCGAGCTCCTTAACACTACATGCAAATAACCAGAGCAGCCAGGTGACCTGACAGTCCCAGGACGCTGAAAACACTAAGGGCTGCGTGGAACAGCGGGATAAGACCAGCTCACTGTGCCCAGAGGCAGGGAAGTCTGTGTCTTTAAAGTCCGATTCAAAGACGTAACTGCATTCGAGGAGCCGTGAGAGCCCGTCAGAAAGGTACGTAAGCTGTGTCCGTGTGAGCACCCTCTCCCCTCCGCGGTCTACTCAGAGAGCACGCCCCACTGAGTGTGACTCACGAGGCTCCTCTAATCTCTCTTCATCCACAATCAACGCACAAGATGTGGGCCAGGCAGGAGTGGAGCCGGCCATCCTGAAGATGGCTAAGATGTTTACGTGCCAAAAACTACCACTAGTTTTATTTAAAGAATTTATTTAATTTTATTCATTGCCTTTATTTTATTATTATTTTTAAAAGCTGGCCAGAGAGAGACAGAGAAGGAAAGTGTGAACATAAGCTGCCAGGTCCAGGACTCGAGGCGTGGGCAGCCATATGGGAGCCCAGCTGCCTTAACCACCACGCCACCTGCCGGTCCAAACTATCACTAGTTTTATGTTAACGTTTTTCCCCATTTTTTAACATGCCAAGAGAATGCTTTTGATGAGATTTATTCAACTCTCTCCCCTCCAAACTCAGGCTGCTGTTACGTTGCTACTAACTTCTCATTTCTAGAATCTTTCTAGCTGTGCTGGTCCCGAGGCCAGTCCCGAGGCCAGCCCCGCCGACCAGAATCCCCGAGGTACTCCACACTGGGTCCCACCACCGGAGACGGGCTCGGCTCAGCTGGGAACCCAGAAGCTGTACGCCTTAACACATGCCCTAAGTGCTTCAGACCAACGTGGGAAGGGCTAGCTCAGTGTCAGATGTGGCCACTGCCTGTGTGGTGCACACGCAGCCTCCCTGCCAGGGGGCCAACTCACCACACCACGGGGAAGAGGATGGCCCCACAGCACAGCAGGTCAACCAGAAACAGGGAGTCCTTCCACAGGCCGTACTCGGTTGTGCCCTCCTCAGTGGACTCTATGATGATGTAGGCGACGTTTGCCAGGACCTACGGGGCAGGAGACGTCACTGAGACCACAAAGCACGGGTGGGCTGTTACAGCCGCAGCAGCTCCAAGGTGGGGCGGATGCCCGGGCACACCTGGTACGCCTGCAGGCCCCCACTGATGCACTCCACGTGTTCTAGAACTTTACCACCCGTCAGGAAGCAGCGTCTGTGCCGTGCCCTGAACCCGGGCGGCGTGTGGTTGTTCTGGCCACTGAGTAAGGCAGAAGTGATGCTGTGTGATTCCCGGGGCAGACATGGCTTCCATCTGGTGCTCTCTCAGGACCTCTGGAGCCCTGAGCCTGAAGTCTGGCTACCCAAACTGCCATGCTGGAAAGACCATCCAAAGAAGCCGCAGTTATCCCTGCCCTCCTGATCAACTCGTCCTAGCCCAGGAGACAGATGCCAGCAAAGACAGCTCCCAGCACTGGCCACTGTCACACTGCAACTGCATGGGATCCCTAGGCTCCCTACCCACGTGAGCCGCTCCAGAATTCCTAACCCACAGAAACTGACAGAAGAAATGGTTATTGTTTGCATCACCAAGTTTTGGGGTGATGAGTTACGTGACAAGAGAGAACCAGGACACTTGACACGTTCAGGCACTGTGAGTCTCAGTGAAGTCACTCGGGTACTGGGCAGATGGCCCTTCACAGCTCACTCAGCAACAGGCCCACACGCCTCAGGCCCAGGTTCTCAGCAGCAGTAACTCTGCTGAGTGCCAGAAAATGGGCCTGTGTTTCCGAGTCCACAGGCCACAGCAGCACGAACGGCGACTGTCAGCCCACAGGCGAGCGGAACCTCTGGTCCTCAAAAGGGTAACTCAGGCCCAGGCTCTCCTACCCCTGGCATGGCACGGGCTCTCCCAACAAGGTTTATCTGCGTGCACACGCTGCTTCCTGCCCCAAGATCAGACGTGGCTGGCTGTGTTTAGTCCTGTTACCAAGCTCCTAGCAAATGACAGAAGCTGGCTAAACTGAGATGCTACCGAGCACGAGGGAAGTGGGCAGGATTACTGTTAGGAACGGACAGATGAGCCACCTAAGCAGCTCCTGTGAAGTCCACATTCCCAGCACTGCTTGACGCGCTGTGACGGAATTCTCCACTCCGTGTGGAGTGTGAAATGTGCCACGTTATTATCTGAGAAGTCTCTGGTGTAGTTTCTCTTTCTATACAGAACTTAAAAATTCATTTGTCACCAAAGTCAAGCTTTATATAATGCAAATAAATGCAAAAATTACTTTGGAATTTAGTTTCCCTCTGCTGACCCTGGCTTCTGGATTCTTTCTGTCCCATGTTTTTCCCCAAGCCTAGTCCACCCAAAACATGTGCATCATGCCTCCATCAATAAAGGCCGCGTGGGAAGCAAAGACTCCACATCTTAAATTCCTAACTCCGCTCTGTCCTTAATCCACACACGTCACATGAGATGGATATCCCTGGCAGCATTGGTGGTGAACACTGTGTCAAAAAGTTCCTGAACCAGGACCAGCGGTTGGCGTAATGGCTGTCACTGGACTCCCATGTAGTCGACCGTGGCTCGAGTCCTGGACCCAGTGGCTTAAAACTCACACCGGGCGCATGTGCGTGTGTGCCCAAGATCCCGAGAGGAGAGTGGAGGAGAAGGGATTGCAGCATGGCCATCCCCCCGGGGGATTTCTCGCTTTCTGTCTCTCTGTCTCTGTCTGTCTGTCTGGCGAGTGCATGCGCCCTATAGCAAAACCTCTCCAAAAATAAGAAAGAGTTCCTGACCCACCACTCCGTATGCACAGCACATGCTCAATAACCCCCCATCACTGCCCATGGCTGGAGGGAAGCTTTTTTCTTTTATTTTTAAATTTAAAAATCTGTATTTAATGGCCATTCCATCAAAATTAGGTAGATTCACACTTCAAAAGTATTACAGGTATACATAATTTTAAGGTACATTTTCAAATTTTATTTAGGCTTTGTTTCTCCTTGGCTGCCTGAGGTTTTCTTGCAGATAAAATCGACACGAAACATTCTGAGGTTGGTAGTTTCTCATACACTGAAAGACGAGACCCTAACACTACAGATCCTTAATACAGGAGGAATCGCAAAAGCCACGTAAAATCGCAGAAAACCTAGTATCAGTCAGGAAAGGCATTCTCAATGTAAAATCCGGACTCTACACTTTGGAATAGCCGCAAAATAAGCCAACAAGAGTTCATGCACTTTGTGATTATATCTACTCAAAGACAGCTCTTAACTAAGATCTATACTTATTAAATAACATATCACATTAGAGCCCATTGAATTTTTAAAAGAATTATTTATTTATTTAATTCCACTTATTATTCTTAAATTTGACTAGAGAGGTAGAGAGAGAAAGGAAAAGCGAGAAAGCAATCTGCTAGGTCCAGGACTCGAACTGCAGTCAGCCAGGGAATGCAGCGCCTCTAACCACCACTCCATCTGCAGCCCAGAGCCCTCTGAATTGTGAAAATTACCAGGAATCATTTGCAGCCCTGTGCTGTAGTTAAATAGTGCTGACTGCTACCATCGACCCTGGTACTCATCCTTTGTTGTCTTGTTTTTTAATATAGAGGACCCTGTGGTCATTATTTAAGCACATTCCCTTTTCTTGCTAGTATATAAGAATGCCCATAATTGAATTCAGAGATGCTCTTATGTCTCTGCTATTGCTGCTTTCGTAGCATGCAGAACTTTGCAAATAGAAGGCTCCCTGGTTACCAGCGACAGCAGCTTAGCATTTTCATCACTGATGAAAGCAGTTTTAACTTTTCAGGCCGATGATAAAGGCCTACCCAGACTGGTCCCGTTGCCTAAATACACATGATGTCCTCACACCTCAGGAGCTGTCCTCCCGCTTCACCCACTGGCCACACCGACACTGCACTGCAAAGCCCCAGACCGGGAACAAGGACTTCAGTGGACGGCAGTGGCAGAGCGGTGCGTCCCTACTACGGCCTCTCTCTCTCTCTCTCTCTCTCTCGGTTCTTCACACCCAGGCTCTGCTCCAGTAAGGCTGGTACGTACAAGACAGGACAAGGTCGCTGAGAGGGTCACAGCCCTCCAAGGCCGGTCTCTGCCTGAGGCCCCCAACACGGAAAGGGTCTGATACATGCCCGCCCTTTGTGTGTGCTATCAAATTCTACCTGGCATCGCTCAGCTGTAGGCTGATTTGTCAGTGAAGCCACTATGTATGAAGTGTCCTCGTGAAGAACAGCAGTCCGACTCGTCCGACCGGATGCAGAGGGAAGGCAGTATGTCTCCCTACCTATCGAAGTCTGGGCTTGCAGGCGGGTCTGAAGATGCTGATGGTCAAGTATCTCCCAGTGCAACGACCTGAAGGTCTGAGAAGGAATCCCAGCCTCTGGCCTGCAGTGGTAGGAGCTGTAGTTCTGGGCCAGCTAATGCCCTCTGTGCAGGCGGGTCTGGAGCTGAGCCCTGCTAAGTGCCAAGAGAGGAGCCAGCAAGCAGGGTTCGGGTTCTTTTACCTGGAGTGGGATGACGATCATGAAGATCTTCTTGTCCTTATCGGAAAGGATGTGCTTGATGAAGGCCCAGCCAGTGCCGATGAGCGCGATGGTGATGAACAGCAGCGCCCCCTTCAGCCTGGAGGAGAAGACAACCGGCTCGCACTCCACGTGGTGGACAGCTCATTCTGAAAGAGCTCATACAGCAGACAGGAGGCCTTACGTGGGCAGCGCTCCTGAGGGCACACAGGCTCTGCCCCCCGCACAGCCCAGGCTACAGGGACGCAGGAGTACACCAAGTGAGCTCTCAGGTCTCGACGCTGCCTGTGTCCACACGCCCGCAGGAAGGCAGGGGCCGAGACAGGCCGCCCGGAGGGACAGGTCTCCGCCTCCCACAGCCCCCATGTCTCGAGCAGGTCCCGTCACAGTGTAAGTGCCGTGTGCATGCGTACTTACAGGTGAGTTATGTAGTACACCACAGCCCAGCCTTCGATCGGAAAGCCCTGGGAGGAGATGTAGTGGTAGTCGATCTGAAATCAAGCGTGCGTTTCAGAGAGGCTGACCTGCCATGTGACCGAGTGCAGTGAAACAGAACAGGGCCCTAGCGACCCCAGGACAGCAAACAGCCCCCGGCCCACTGCCCAGCCCCTCACTGCCAGCTCGGTTAAGCATGCGAGTGCCCTGACAAGCCGAGCAGCTTGGGGAACCTGGCCCACAGTTTCCAGGTCCCAAACAGCCGCCCAGGTCAGGTCCTCTCTCCAGGCAAATGAGTCATCACGGCGGACGGATACCTGCTCTCTCCTTTACAGCCTCCAGGTTAGGAGGCCACAGGTCTGGTCACTGTCCCAGCTGAGAACTGTATCCTTCCTACCCCTGCTGCTTACACAAGTAAATCGGTCAAAGAAAAATGAAAAATCCATGTGCACTTGGAGTCAACCAGCTTCAACTATCTTTTTCTTCAAAAAATAAACCTATATAATCCGAGCCACCTGAAGCCACTGAAGTACCGTTGCTGCTTTTCCCTCTGACCACACCAGCAGTGGGGTACGTGTCCAGAGACGACACACTCACAGGTACAGTCTGTGGGTACCTGGTCGGCCACAAATGGGAAGCTCTAGTTTTAACCCGGGGGAATGTGCATTCATGTTACATTAGTTCTAGGAACCAGCAGTTGGTGTTAACAGCTATGTCACTGGACTCCCATGCAGTCAACCACAGTTCGAGTCCTAGACCTGGTGGCTTCAACTCATGCTGGGAGCGTGTGCGTGTGTGCCCAAGATCCTGATAGCAGAATGGAGGAAAAGGGGTTGCAGCATGGCCATCTCCCCTGGGGGATGATTTCTTGCTTTCTATCTCTCTGTCTCTGTCTTTCTGGCAAGTGCACGTGCCTTATAGCAAAAACCTCTCCAAAAAAAAAAAAAAATCAAGTTACATTAGTTCTAAATATTCGAAGCTGACGCTCGGTGCTTATGCCCAATCTTTATAGCATCGACCTCTGCTCCAGTGAGTGTAGTGATACGGAACTCCAACGCGCACAGTAACAAGTTCACACACTTCTTATAAAAGCGTTTGGACAAACAGAGTCATGGAGACAATTCAGCAGGTGGCACTGTCATCTCAAGAAATGAAAAACAAAACAAAACAAAACAAAAAAAAAAGAAATAAAAACAAGTGTCCTAAAGGCGCATGGGTCTGTCTCAGAAGACATCTTCAGTCTAGTAACTGGGGAAGCTGTGACCACTGACGCATGGCAGTCCCTCGCAGACCGAGGGTGGCTTCGTGAGAGCTCTGCTTTCACCGCGGCTCCCACCATCTACCCCTTCTAGTTTACTTCTCCTGCTCGTGCACAAAGGTCCCCAGATGCTGATACATACTGCATGGAACACCAGGG